TAAATGAGGAATGTCTGTACTATATGCTGTAGGCTCTTTTACTTATTGCCATTATCCCCAATTCCTAGAAAAGTACTTGGCACATAATTGGTGTTCAATAAACTGTTTTAAATTTTTATCACCCAGAAGATATAATTTTCTCTTCAAGTTGTGTCATCATAAGGTATAATCCATTCACCTATCAACAAATATTCATTAACTGCCTATATCATGCATATCATTGCACTAGGTGCTATAAAAATACAGTAGAAACAAACCTCTAGAAATTTATCAACTGATTAGCCAAAAAGATAAAAACAAAGTACCATACAGTTTGGTGGTTCCAAGGAAAGACAATTTCAGTTCCATGTGAGGACCACATGAGCACATAAGCATTAGCAATGAGCTTTATGTGAGAAAAGATTTGGGGTGGAGATGTGCTTTTCCAGGGATCTGAACAAGCAAAGACCCTGTGAAACAGGAAAGTGAAAGAAGGATCAAAGGGAAAGAAGGGGAACAGGGAGTTGTCTAACATGCCCAGAAGGGTAGATACATTTAAAAAGATGACCAAAGAAGAACATATTCAAGAAACAAACAAACAAAGTAGGCCTCAGGAAGCAGATCAGAGGATGCCAAATGTGATGGGAAACCACTGAAGGGGTGAAGGGGGGTACCGTCGGAGAGATTAAAGGAGAGCCAAAGGGAATGTCAAAGCAAGGGTGGCCAATGGAGCCACAAAGCCATAAATTCCACATAAAGACATGTCTTTTTCTCACTGCTCTATCCTCAACACTTGGGTAGCATCCTTTAAGGTGCAGGAGCTCAATAAGTATCTGTTAAAAGAATGACCAGAATAGTAGACATGAAGAAGAGCTTGCATATCTAGTTAGCTCACAGGTGAATATTCACAATAGCTAGCTATACCCACGGCATCTGAGGGTGAAAGGTGGTAGGTGGCAATCATCTTCACTTTCTGAGGCAGCCCAATTATTCTCCGCTACCTCATATTCTTAGGAACAAATTTCTTATACTGAGTTGTAGTCTTTTAATTTCTATTTTCTGGAGCTATATAGGTCATATTCTTCTTTCATATTACCCTTCCAAAACCTAATACCTATTCAGGTCCTTCATCTATTCCTGTTAATAAGAATTACTGTTTATGGTGAGCTTATCATGTTATATGCATTGGCCTAAGAGCTTTATAAGCATAGATCTCAGTTAACCCTCAAACAATCCTAAGACTAAACACTTTTCTCCATCTTACAGATAGGAATATGGAGATAAGCAAAGTTACATAACTTGCCAACTTTAAATCCCTAACAATCTGCAGAGAAGGGATATGACCTCAGGCCCAGTAGATGCCAGAATCAATCAAGAAAATCAGCTTCCTTCAAATTATGTAGCCTCAAATTTCCTCATTCTCCCCTGAACCTTTCTGATCTATCATTATCTCCTTTAAAGTATAATACCAGAATTCCAGATATTGTTTGACAAGGGCACAGTAAAAAATTTCCCCTTTATTTTTAATTAGATTTTATTGGTAAGTTTACTAGATTTTTATATGAATATAATGATCACATTCATCATAGAGAATCTGTACTGTACATCATATAACTTGTGGAATGGAAAACCCCATCCCTATTCTCCCTTCAACCCCTCCCTCCCTTCCTCACTTACACAACTTGCTTCCATGTTTTCCTTTTCTCATTTTTTTTACTTTTCCCTTCTTTCCTTTCCCCTCCCCATTTGAACATTTTCCTCCTATTTCACAGTACCTATTATACACTTTGGTCCTTATTTACACTTTTGGTTTTTCACATCAGAGAAACAATGTGGGATTTACATGTGTGTGTGATTTATTTCACTTAAGAATATGGACTCAAGGTGCATCCATTTTCCTAGAAATGTCTCAAGCATATCCTTCTTTATGGCACAGAGGTATTCCATTGTATCAAAAAAATTTTTATCCATTCACCAGTTCATGGGCAATTGGGTTGTTTCCAAAATTTGGCTATTACAAACTGTGCTGCTGGGGCTGGGGATTTAGCTCAGTGGCACAGCTCCTGCCTGGCAAGCACAAGGTCGTGAGTTCAATTCTTGGCACTGGAGAAAAACAAACTGTGCTGCTATAAACACAGGCATACATATATCACTGTGGTACGATGCTTTGAATTCTTTTGAGAAGATATCCAGGAAATGGCTGGGTCAAATGGAACCCCTAATCCTACTTTTCTGAGGACTCTCCACACTGATTTCCACAGTGGCTGCACCAGTCTGCACTCCCACCAACAGTGGAGAAGGGCTCCTTTTTCCCCACAGCCCCACCAGCATTTGTTATTAGTTGACTTCTTGGTAATAGCCATTCTTTCTGGGGTGAGATAGAATCTCAGTATTATTTTAATTTCCATCTCTCAAACAACCAGTGATGTTGAACATTTTTTCATGCATCTGTTGTTTGTATTTCTTCATCTGAAAAGTATGTATTCATATCAGATGTCCATTTTTGGATTGAGCCTTTAAATTTGAGTTCTTTATACTGTTTCTATAGTAACCCTTTGTCTGGGTAACAGCTGGCAAACATTTTTTCCCATTCTCTACCTTTTAGACATCCTACTTTTTCTAAAACTCAATTCAGCTTTAATTTAGCCCAAGACTAAATCAGTTTTTTTTATGTGTGGTTGTTGTTTGTTTGTTTTACAGTACTAGAAATTAAATGCAGGTTCAATATCTCTGTGACACATCTCCAGCTGTTTTTTCATTTTTTAATTTTGAAACAGGATCGCATAAAATTGCTAAATTATGAAGGCTGGGCTAAATCTTGTGATTCTCCTGCCTCAGGCTCCCAGAGTGCTAGGATTACAGGCATGTGCCACCACACCCAATTTGAATTAGCTTTTTTTTGAGTAGCCTCATTTTCCTGTTGACTCTTAATAAGCACATACTAAACTAAAACTCCTGAGGCTTTTAGATATGAAGCAGAAAACTGTGCCTTCAATCTGCTCCTTGTCCTTTTCTTTGTTAAAGATTTGGAGTAAGAACAATCTAACTCTTAGAAAACTCTCTTCTAAGTCTACTAAACATTTAGTTGAGCCTCAGGAACAAAGAGGGCTAAAGATCTCTAATAAAACAAGAACTGGTATTAACTAATATACCTTATACATTTAGATTTAAATATAAATAAGCGCTTGAAGGGCTAATAAAAATATAAAGCTAAAGTTATATGGTTAACAGACCATAAGTGTAAGGAAAACAAAATTAACAAATATTTAAATTATTAAATCAACAGAATGATTATCGCAACACAATAATAAAACTCAGTCAGTTGCAAAACCACTTATAAGAGACTGACCAAGAAGGAAAAGAGTATGCAAAAAAGGAAGCACAGAACCTATCAGAGAGAAATTTCCCATTTTAAAGTTCAGTGTTGGGTCAAAATTTTGTAAGTGAGATCTATGTCTTTTTCTTTCATTTAGTCCCAGAACCCAATGGCCTCAGGTGTTAGAAATTCCCAGTTAACTGTTGGGCTGAATTGAATCACCAGTTTCATAGCCTTTGGTAACCAATACCTAAATTAGTTTTAATTTCCACTAAATTGTGGGGTTGGGGGGTGTAGGGAGCAGGATGTTGTACTATGTTTTCTTTCATATAGTGAAAATGTAATTACAAGTGGTTGAAAGATAAGCACTTTGTCAAATGCAAATGCAATGTTATTTGTAGAGGCCCAATTATTTGGTTGTACTTTCAGGGACCAGTATTATTATAACATATTGAGATGCAGAACAGTACAGAGTTTAAAGTTTGTGAACTCCAGATCACTTGGATCCAACCTCCAGCTACATAATCTTTTGCAAGTTACTTACTTTCTCTGTACCTCAGCTTATTCATCTAGAAAACAGAGCTAACAGTACTTACCTTATAGGGTTGTTGTGTGAAGTACAGGTAAAGCAGTAAAAACAATGTCTGGAAAAGTAAGCGCGGTATAACATTTGGTAGCACTGTGCTTACTTTTCAATGGTCTTTCTAATTAATGTGACAATATTTTGCTCATGAACCTAAAATTTTTTGTAAGATTATGAATACTAATCACTTGCATTCCAAACAAGAAAGGCTTATGAATTTGCTACGTACACTAACTGATTAATGGTCTTCTGCTGCTCCTTGGATCTTCTGTGCTTTAATAGCTTCCTTTGTTCGGGTGTAACAGTATATAAGTTTTCTGAGGGGTAAACAATGGGTGGTAACTTCAACTTCAGAGCCTCCTTTTCTGCTGAAATGGCAGTTTTGTTTGGATCTGACATCTTGGTCCCTTAAAGATTAAAATACTCTGTACTCTGAAAAGAAAAACATCCATACAGACATTATTATAAAGGCAAGCCTTAATATAGTCATAGCTTACATATCAATACCAAAAATAAAATTCTACGTCCTTTTAGGTCTTCCTCCCAAGTATGATGTTACTAAAGCACAGCAGTTGAGGTAAGTGGGCAGGGATTTCTGCTGGAGCTATACCACTCATTTGCTGGGAAGACTGAAGTCAAACATTTCCCTTTCAGTGCTTGAAAGTAAGGAACTAAATTAGTATCCTTCAAGCTCTAAAATTCTGGATCATTAAAAAACAGCACAAAAAATCCAATTGTTGAAAGAGAATCTCCTCCTCCCTTAACATCATTAATATTATTGTTGAAAAAAATTGGTAATCTTGCCACCCTCCTAGCATGTGATCTTATGACCAAGCACAAATATTCGTCCTTAAAGCACAGCAAATCTAAAATGTCATATACGTGCTCAACAATTGATCCATATATCTATCCAACTGTGATATCAATTAATTTTCCACAAGGGCCCACAAGATTTGGAGATTCCTGCCCTTAAAGAGTATTTCTGCTGGCACCCAAATCTACATCACTTAGGAAGACAGACAAGAGAAGTGCAGAGAACAAGTACAGTACCTCTAACTGTTTATTGCCTCAAAGGATGAGAGAGAATTGCAGAGCTTCTCCCTTAGTGAAAGGAGGGGTTTAATGAAGGGCAAAACCTCCAGAATTCCCCTGGTTCCCTGCCCACTAACGGGTGAGCTAAGGTCACCAACTGAGTTTGAAAACAACATTGTGGTCGTCCTGGAAACTCCGCAGCCACCGCAAGGACTGAATGAAGTGGGCAAGAAAGGAGCAGTTGCTGAGCTACCACAGATTAGAATCATCTGTCACAACAGTAACTCAAGTAAATGGAGGGTGAGGGGTTTTTTTGTTTTAACCTAACTGCCTAACCTTGGAAAACGTTCAGGAAATCAGGGTGTTTAAGTTGTGGAAAACTCTAAAGCTTGAAACTTGGCTCCATTGGAAAAAAAAAACAAAACTATATCTTCCTCTCAGAGACAGTCAAGTGTCTCCATAACAAATCCCTATAAATTCTGTGACTAATCAACAGTTGATCTTGTTTCTCTATTTGCTGCTGTTTATCCAGCATTTTCAGGAAGTCCTGGCCAAAATCAAACAGGTTAAGATGAGGTCCTGAGTTCAATTCCCAGTATACTCCTCTCTCCCCTAAAAAAGATGTGTAAACTTTGCAAGCATGCTTGGAGAGAAAAATGTAAAGTTGCAACTGGAGGCCTCACAGTATATATACCCCATCTAAACAACAGCCTACATGAATACTAGGTGCCTAAATAAAACTGAAGGATGAGATAATCCTGGTGGTGTACTGATGGCATATTCATTTGACAAATATGTCTGCACGCCAGTCACGATGTCAAGAATTTTTGTCTTAATGAGGGTGTAGCCTATATTATTGTATCTGGCACACTGTAAGTACTTCTTAAATGTCACTTAAAGTGAGTAAATGACCAGGCATAGTGGCTAATCCCAGGACTCGGGAGGCTGAGGCAGAAGGATCACTGCAAGTTCCAGGCCAGCCTACATTACATCGTGAGTCCACCAGCCTGAACTACATGGCAAGACCTTGTCTCAAAAATAAAATAAAATTTAAAAATAAAATAAAAATGAGTGAATAAAACTTTCTGATAATTGTAAACTACTCTTTGCCAGAGTAGGGGACTCACAAATCTGCTTTTGATTTCTACAACTTTGTAATTTCTGATGAATGTAATCATGCATTACATAGTCTTCTATGTCTGTTTTTTTAAATGTAATGATAGTGTATCTGAGGTTCACCCATGTGTAATGCATAATAGAAATTACTTTTTATTGCTGAATTGTATTCCATTATATATGTAATGATAGTGTATCTGAGGTTCATCCATGTGTAATGCATAATACAAATTACTTTTTATTGCTGAATTGTATTCCAGTGACCATATAGTGGTCTCTGATTGTGGTTTTAATTTGTATTTTCCTAATGTTGACCATCTTTTTACATGCTTTATGAGCCATTAATATTCTTCCTCCTCTACTTCCCTTCCCCCTCCTTCTCCTTCCACCTCTTTCTTCATGGTGTTAGGAATTGAACTTGGAGGCCAGGGATATAGCTCAGCTGCTTAAGCACTTGCCTGGCAAGTCTGAGGTCATGAGTTTGATACCTGATACCGGAAAAAAAAAAAAAAAAGGAATTGTACTCAGGGCCTTTCTGGTGCTAGGCAAGTGCTTCCCACTACACTGTATTCCCCAGCCCATGGCACATCTTTTTTGTTGAAATATGTCAAAAATTTTGTCCATTTTTATTTCTTTTTATAATCTGCTTTTAAGTGTTGTTCATATATTCCAGATACAAGACTGTTATCAGATAATTTGCAAATGTATTTTTCTGGTCTGTATTAAGACATCCTTTTCATAATTGTATTTCTTGAGGGGAATCTTTTTGAGACATGGTCTCACTAAGTAGTTCAGAATGGCTTTGAACTCACTTTGTAGTCTAGGCTGGCTTCAAATTCCCAGCAATCCTCCTGCCTCAGCCTTCTGAGGCTGGGATAAAAGATACATGCCACCACACCCGGTTTAGTTAAATCTTTTGAAGACCAAATTTTCATCTTTGATTAAAGTTCCACGTATCTATTGTCTTTTATGAATTGTGATTTTGAGGTGATACATAAAAGACAGATAAGGTTATGAAGATTTTCTCCTCCATTTTCTCTTAATTGTGTTTTACATTTAGGTCTACAATCCATTCAGTTGGTTTTTTTTCATCGGAATATGCAATTGTTTCAGTATCACTTGCAGAAAGGTTGTCTTTCCCCCACCAAAATGCCTTGATGCCTTTGTTAAAATAAAAATAAAAATTTAAAAAAACAACAAAAAAAAACCACTTGAAGCCAAGAATAGTGGCACAATTCCAGCTATGCAGGACGCTAAGGCAGGAGAAATGGGAGTTCAAAGACAGTGTGGGTAACTCAGCAAGACCCTGCCAGAATAAATAAAACAAAAAGGCTGGGAGGTAGCTCAGTGATATGCTTGCACTGCAAGGTCCTGGGTTCAAATCCCTGAATGGGGAGAGTGGTGTAGGGCAGGAGGGATCACTTGATCAGTCTGGTATGGTAATGGATGTCTCTAGTCCTAGCTACTCAGAATGCTGAGGCTGAAAGATTACTTAAATCCACAAATTTGAGATCAGCCAGGGCAAGACAAGATTTAAAAACACTGACTGAACAGATGTGGTGGCACACACCTGTAATCCCAGCACTCAGGAGGCTGAGGTAGGAGGATCATTGTGAGTTCGAGGTCAGCCTGGGCTACAAAGTGAGTTGAAGACCAAGCCCGAACTGCATAGTGAGACCGTGTCTCAAAAATACAAAAAAAAAAAAAAAAAAAAAAATTGACTGTAATGTAAAGGTTTATTTCTGGACTCTCAATTCTGTTTCACTGATCTATATGCCTACCTATAAACCATCCCATAATGCCTTGACTAGTACAGATTTAGAGCAGTTATAGTTTCTAAGTTGTGTAGTGTTAGTCCTCCAACTTCATTTTCTTTTATAAATATCTAGTTTGGGCTATTTTAGGCATTTTGCATTTTCACATAAATTTTGGGATCAGCTTTCCAATTTCTGCAAAATGGCCAGCTAGGAATTAGATAGATCTTTTGCTTTGAATGAAAAGAAATTAAACATATTAATTTGCAGCTGAAAATCCTTCCCTAAAAGCTCAAGTTTGGGGCCTAAGCGTTAAAAATATTATTTATGAGAGCAAGTAAGTTTATTTAGCAAAACCTTGATTGTTTAAAAAGCATTTCTGGATATGACATCAAAATATGATTCTCTAGTATCCTCTTCCTCCTCCTTCATAATATAAATGGTAAAGATGCTAAGAGAACTGAGAAGGTGAATTTGGTAGGCTATGTACCATCATTTCAAAATTGAAAACTGAAGTGCAATCCAGGTATCATGGCCATGCATCTGTAGTCTCAGCTCCTCTGGAGGCTGAGGCAGGATAACTACTTGAACCCAGGAACTCAATACCACACTGAGAGATCTCACCCCCAAAAATAAATTTTTTTGTTTGTTTGTTTTTCCCAGTACCAGGAATTGAACTCACGACCTTGTGCTTGCCAGGCAGGCGCTGTGCTGCTGAGCTAAATCCCCAGCCCCCCAAAAATAAATTAATAAACCAGACATGGTGGCGCACTCCTGTAATCCCAGCTACGCAGGAGGCTGAGGAAGGACGCTCACAAACTCAAGGTCTGCCTGAGCAATTTACTGACACTCTTTCTCAAAATGAACTTTTAAAAAGGGCTGGGACATAGCTCAGTGGTAGAGTACTTACCTAGCACTCCTGAGGCCCTGGGTTCAATCCCCACTACCAATAAACCAATGAATAATAAACTTTTAAAATGGATGTGTGGGGGAAAATAAAAGAATCCGTGTGCTTATGAGTTCCTTATAGACTTAAAGTTGGATATATTTTACACAGGTTCTTTGAATTTTTCTTCAAATTAATTTTTATTGCTATATTAAATAACATTACTGTATTAGACAGTTGTATTACATTAGATATACTACGTAGCATAGTACAAATATATAATTTATATAAACACAAAAAAAATAGAAAAGCTGATCCTTTAAGAAAAGGTAAATGGAGGTTACTGAGTTTTAAATATATAGGAAAATACCATGAAGTGATATCACCAGATACTACTCAAAACTTGAGTACTATCACTCCAACTGCAACACTATGTTCACCTTAAGTTAAAAATATGTATAAATTAATTATCTGTGTGGTTAACTGCCAAAGCCATTAACCAAAGTAAAATTAATCCAAAGAAAATAGTCTTCACACATAAATATTAGCAGATTATATATATATGGCATGGGGAGATATAAGAATAATTCCATCTATCATAACTCTGATCAGAGTCAGCCTCTGTTTCTTTTTCTTTTTTTTTTTTTTTGGTACCAAGAATCGAACTTAGAACCTTGCGCTTGCCACGCCAGAGCTTGTGCCGCTGAGCTATATCCCCGGCCCCAGCCTCTGTTGCTTTTTTTTGTTTGTTTTTCCGGTACCGGAGATCGAACTCACGACCTTGCACTTGCCAGGAGGCACTGTGCCGCTGAGCTAAATCCCCAGCCCCCAGCCTCTGTTTCTTAACATAGAGAATGATTGAAAAAAATTGTAAATTATATTAGAAGACTGAGACAATGAGTTTTCTCTGATACCGAAAAGAGAAACAGTAAATAATCTTAAATATTAATAATAAATGATGTAATTATTTTAAGTATTATTTAAAGAAAAAAGAAGTGTGACATTTTATGGCATAGTTCAAAACCTGGATTAAGACTCTTGTTATGGAGGTTAGATGTGATGGCTAATGCCTGTAATCCCAGCACTGGGGAGGCTGAGGCAGGAGGGTTGTCTGAAGTTCGAGACCAGTCTGGGCTACAAAGTGAGTTCAAGGTCAGCCTGAACTGCACAGTGAGACCCTGTCTCACACACATTAAAAAAGTTGGGAAAGATCAAGAGTAGGGGAAGGAAAGGCAGAGAAGGGCAACGGGGGCCAAAAATACATACATACACGTACCAATACACCAAAACCTCATCATTCATATCATTAATATGCACCAATTTCTTAAAAAATAAATTTGAGGGGCTCAGTGGCAGTGCGTCTGCCTGGCAAGCGCAAGGTCGTGAGTTCGATTCCTGGTACCGGAAAAAAAAATTTTTTTAAATTTTAAAAATTTAAAAAATAAAAAATAAATTTGAGATAAAAGAATTACTTTATACGTAGCAGACTTTCCACCGTTACTCCTTAACGGAAACTTAAGTGGGGACTGGCGAGGTGCTTCGGCGGCAGCGTACTTGCCTGGCCTGGCTGAACCCCCGGGTCCAGCACCATCACCACACGAAAAAGGGAAAAATAAGAAGATATTGAACGGGAGACCCGTGCTTTTATTTGCTCAAGGCGGCAACCCTAACAGAAGAGGCTTTTCCCCTTTGCTGATTACGAACGCGCGCTTCCCGCGCGCCGGCTGTCACTCCCCAAACCGCGGCTGCGCGCGCTGGTCACTTCGCCGCTCCGGGGGCAACAGCACCAGCACCTCGATCTTCTGGGGCGGCAGCGCTTCTCTCTCCCGGCGCCCGCCGCCCGGGCCCGCGCCCCCGCCGCCTCCATCA